TTTAGATTGACTGTGTAGTTAACAATACAATTTCAAAGATGAATTTTATCTCAAATAATGAAAATCACACCATCAACTCTTGGGCAAACAAATTCATTTCTGCTGTATTGAAGTAAAATTATTTTACACCTGATTAAAAATATTTATTGAAAAGCAGAATTCTGGTCTGTTGTCGTCAAAGATAAGAAACCATAATTATTTCCAATCAGAAGTACTTACTCAATTGCCATTATTCACAATCTGTACAAATTAACGAGTCGTGTTTAACAGCTGTTGTGCGGTGAACCAACAACAGCTGGTTGAACTTGAATACTAATGTATTTTTTACACCTTGAAAATAATGACTAATATGATAAGTGATTTTAAGGAAAGCGCTAAAAATTTAAAGATTTTTTCGGCGCTGTGAAGAACGAGAAAAACAATTATTTTTCCGGTTTGCCCTCTTTGCTTTTACAGGTCTTTTCGCCGCCTTTTTTAATTCACATCGTTAACTGTTTAATGAGAACTGAATTATATTTTACAACTACACAAAGATCCGCATTTGCATACGCATTAAATTTTGGTTCGTGCAAAGGCAAATTCGAACAATTACCGTCCATTTTCCTGTTGTCTTAAATTTCGTAAGGAAAAAAAAAAGTGCGGACATCTACGACATTTCCTCACTCAAGCGATCGCTCCGCAAGATAAGTCAAAATACTATCGATGGATTTATCATCGATTCGTGAAAGGTCTCACGTAGGCATAATTTTCAAACAAGTAATTGTGAGAATATTAAACTGGATAGGAGACAACCAAAAGCTGTTGGATTTTAGAATTTTCGTCTGTTTACATAAGTCTTGTTGCCACAGTTCGGAGCTTTTCATTCTTTCCAAGTTAAATTAACTACTTATTAACGATGGTCCCTCGAGACTTGACGATATTCACTTTTCACGGCACAAAAACAATGGGAAATGAACTTAACTCAAAAGATGAATAGATTTTGGTAGCCAAAGAGGCGTTCATTTGATTCTTAACATTGAAATTTCAATTTCTGTGCAGGTAGAAAACCTCGATATTTGATACGCGGGCAGATCTAGAAGGTGTCAGGTTAAAAATATCCAATGCCGAAACGATAACACCTTTTAAACCCCATACGTCAGATAACACGATTTTATTTTCCATCACGAGAACATTTGCAACAACCGCGTAAATAAAGGAACTACCATAATGATTTCATTAAGTCAACATAACACTTCTGTCATATCAAGAAAGAATCCATTTCTGCGTCGAATGTTCCTTTCAAGTGTAACTTTCCGTACGTGTCACGACAGACTGTTTTCGTCTTTCCTTATTTATGCAACACCATGCTGGTTAAATCCTTCATCGGCCGTGCTTTTTAACGCAATTTATATCGAACAATAACTGGTCATTCACTGAATTCTACGGCCTAGATAGCACGATAAAATTATGAACTTGAAGCGAAAGCAGAACATTAAGAGATAGATTCTTGCAGCGCTGCAAGCTTAAAGTGAAATACTTACAAATCCATCACTAGATGAAGATGTGTTTTGTTGTCGAATATTTCCCAAAGTTTAATTATGTTTGGATGGTTCACCCTGCAGACAAAATAAAATGGACGAACATGATTGATCTCACTGCGCAAAGAACAGCTTACAGAATAACAGACAGAAAACAACACGCCTTTCGATCGTGAAAACATCCTTTTCTGGCTGACTGGACAGGCGTTACGCGAATCACGACAAAAACAAGAACTGTTTTATATTACTAATTGACTTACTTCTTCAAGATAGCAATTTCGTTCTCTATTGCCTCTTCCTTGCCGGAAAGTTTCCTCTTGGCGATGCACTTTACAGCGTATAACTTACCGGTAGCCTTCTCTTCAGCCATGAAAACTTCAGAAAACGCTCCACTGTGAGATAGAATAAAGAGATTTCGCAAATGTTAATGAACTACACAGAATACAATTAGAATTCACTGAAATTTGCGCACGAGAGTTTGAGGCAAATTATCTAAATACAAGCCGCGCTTCTCGCTAAAACAAGTTCTTAGAGCTTCGTGCATGTGTCAATTCATCTGTCATAAGGGAAGATAACTTGTGAGGCCACTTACGTTCCGAGCACGTCATGAAAAGTGTACTTCTTTGTGATCTTCTCATCGAATTTCTTTTTCCCAAACAGCGGCATTCTGGAACAGGAAAAATCAGTGCAGCATTTAGCGAAATTCATCTAAAGCACCCACGAGAACTGGAGGCCGTCCGTAAGAACGTACTACATTTGCATCGAAATCTATACAAAACAAACACACCTCGGATTTTGACGTATTTACCAATACTTGTTATAAATCTTCGACTACGAACCGCTGCATACTTCTTTTGCATGAATGTGTTGTCAAGAACGCGAAATACTTTGAGGGGGGTAGGGTGGGGTAAGCCCAGTTTCGAGCTATAAAATGCAAATCGTGAAAAGAGTCACCCTTTGTCACGAAATAGTCGCTACTCGCAATCAAATAAGTGCCTTTTTTCTTTGCTTATTGCGTCCACCATTGCCTTGAGCTATCTCTGCATCCAATGTGTCCAAAAAGAACAGCGAGTTTGGATTTCAAACACAGGGCGGGAAATTAAGTTAATAAATCCAGTTAATTGAACAAAATTAAAGATTCCTGGCTAAATTGTTTCCTATACCACCATATTTAGGGCGCTAATCGGCAATATGTTGCAAAGGAAATACTAAAATCATTGCAAAATTTGCGCGCCTTCATTCACAACGAGTCAAACGGACTTGTTCCCTTTTTCATGGGCTGAAATTGCAGGGAACCTTGTCACTTCAGAATCTTTTTTTTTTTTCCTGGCGAGTAAGGAAACCATGAGAAGCTCTCTTCCGCGGAATGAAATCTTTCCTTTCCGCCCCAGAAAACATATACACTGAAATATTTCCTTTCGGCCCCCAAAAAATATATACACTAAAATATTTCCTTTCGGCCCCCAAAAATATATACATTAAAATATTTCCTTTCGGCCCAAAAAATATACACATTAAAATCTTTTCTTTCGGCCCCCAAAAAATATATACACTAACAGAGACCATTCAAAGAAGTCGGTGTTGCACATTTCCATTAAGACAGAAACCGCATGGCATTTAATTATGAAATGATAGGCAAACCATATGTGAACTTCGTGCAAAACGGTTGAGGAAAAAAAATCCTCGGTATTTTTCATCTGAGACATCAGATAAAGTAAAAAAATGAAAAAAAAAAAAGCGAGATATCAATCAAACGTCATATATTGGATGTCTTAATTAGTCCAATTACGGAGGTATTTACGCAAGTAACGTCATTCCATAATAATTTATTTGTTTTTCGTCAAAGCTTCAATTAAGCAATTCTATTTATGTCGCATTTTACAGCCGGCCACACAATTTACGAGATCAGGTTTTGTTATTTTTTGCTGTATTCGTTTATTCCTGTTTTATCGTTTGTTTGTTTGTTTGTTAATTTGTTAGTTCGTTTTTTTGTATTCACGCACTCCTATCTAACCACGAAAGAGATCACCTCGCTCTCACAAGCAATGCTAACAAAAGCCTCATTAACAACAGTCCTTCATGAATTTTTTTCTACGTCTTCCACTTTCCCATGCACAGATTTTTCTAATCGATGCAGATGTTATCAGAGATCAAAAACATTCAATCCTTGAGGCGAAATATTCCATTGAAGTCATTTTTAAGTTGCCAAGAGAGACAGCCGACGACAGATTTCTCCAGAAGTGCGCTGTTTATCAGCCCAGCTTGCATAACTAATTAGACTGCAAAAGTTACAAAACAAATCTACCTAAGACGACATGTTGATCACATAATAGCTTAAATGCGTCGCTTCATGTGAAAGATTGCGAGTTTAAAACATCGCAAACTAATTGTTTACTAACGTGGCGGTGAATTTACGATTTCACTTGCGCTATCTGGAGTGTCTCTGACAGACCTTTTATTTTGTTTGGAGAGGAAAAGACATGGTCAGATAGCATAACGACATTTCTAGATGATTCTTACTGATAAGAGATCCGTCTGAACTAAAGGTTAAACACTACCAATTGCTGCTATCCAAGTGTTACCCACGCGCTCGTGACGAAATGCAAATGTAGAAACAAGTATGTTTATGAAAGTCTGTTTCTTGATCGGGTTTATTGGTTATCAGAGAATTAGGAATTTGAGTCGAAAGGGTTTCTTAACACCATCTCGTGACAAAACTCGCTGTGCAAGAATTTCGGTAAAGATATTTCCATTAAACATCAAAAGACGGTTGATGCGAGATCACGCGTGAGGCCACTACCACACGCGCGATCACGAACGAATCTGAAAATTACCTTCAGCCCTTACTACTCTCGCGTACTGTTATTCTGTTATTTCGTTTCGACGTTTTAAACTGCTGGCTAGTTTAAATTTTTGCGATTTGTTTTAGCAAAAATTTATCTCAAGGGGGAGAAGAATTTCACTAAAAAGTCCGCTGTAAAAGAACTATAATGTTTGCGACGAACCGATGCGAGCGAGTGTATCTTATTCCACTCGCGTTAAGAAAAAAATTTGAGAGTCTGATCAAAAGCAATTAATGAACTGTTATTTTTTCTTTAAAATACCTGGCGAGGTTACAGCCGCCCCTTCCCTTCAAAAAAAAAAAACTTGGTAAGGGCCCCCTTATTGATTTTTCTAAGGCGAAGGGAATGGCTTTACACCAACTAGAAAACGCCCTCCTATAATAATTTTATGAAAATACTGATAGTCTTGTGGAAACAAAAGAGTGTATACTGCCTACAATCAAAGAGGCGTTCTCTTAACATTTGCAACGATAGTTCGCCTCGAGAAAACATAATGAATTCATT